ATAACAATACCATTCCTTGTCTAAATTCACCCTTCCTCTTGCTCCTCAATGATATCTAAATACAGCTTCTAAAACTTACCTGTGCAGCTTTGGCCAGGTTGCTCAGTTGGTTTGAGCATTGTTCCATAGACCAAAAAGGTTGTTGGTTCGCTGAAACTGGTTTGGCTCGGTGGATAGAGTGTCGGCCTGCGGTCTCAAGGGTCCCAGGTTGGATTCCGGTCAAGGCACATCCTCCGTGGGGGGTGTGCAGCAGGCTGCTGATCCGATATTTCTAGCTCTCTGTCCCTCTCCCTTCCTCTCTGTAAAAAAGTCAATTAAAAAAAAATATATATATATATTTTTAAAAGATTGTTGGTTCAATTCCCAGTGGGGGCAGCGAATCAATGTTTCTCAGTGACTGATGTTTCTATCTCTCTGGCCCCTTCCCATCTCGCTAAAAATAAATAAAAACATTAAAAAAAAAAAAAAAAAAAAAAAAAAGGCCGAGACCGGTTTGGCTCAGTGGATAGAGCGTCGGCCTGCAGACTAAAGGGTCCCTCCCAGGTTCGATTCCAGTCAAGGGCATGTACCTTGGTTGCGGGCACATCCCCGGTGGGGCGTGTGCAGGAGGCAGCTGGTTGATGTTTCTCTCTCATCGATGTTTCTGGCTCTCTATCTCTCTCCCTTCCTCTCTGTAAAAAATCAATAAAATATATATTTAAAAAAAAGAAAAAAAGAAAAAAAAGAAATTCGGTCCATTTTCCTTATTCAAGAACTGCCTATCACCATGGAAAGATTAATAGCCTTGTTACTGAAACAACGGAGTCCAGGAGGCACCTGTCCTTTGCAAACCCCAGCCCTAATTGCCTGCAACCATTATACCCATTCTTATTCCTTTTGCATACTTCCCATGTAATCATTGTCCTTCCACCCAGTATAAGCTTATAGGGTGAAGGGGTAGTAGAGCAGAATTTTTGTGGATGACCTGCTGCTCCCCCATGCTGTCGGCAACATTGGAAGATAAAAATACTCATTTCCGATTCAACCCTGTCTCTGCTTGATTGGCTCAAGTAGTGACAAGCAGCCCAGACCCATTCATTGTCTGGTTTCACCTCTACACACCTCCATTCGAATTTTAAACTGCAGTATTTTAACTGCTAATAGTTCCTTTGCATTGTTTTCTAAACTTGAACTCCCACTCTTCTTGTACCCCCTGCCCCCATCCCTAATATTTACAACACTATTTTGTCACCATTTCTTTCAGGAAAGCTTTCGCCCAGGCCTTGGAGTATCCCTATCACAGCACTTAGGCGCTGTATTGCATTTACCTGTTTACAGGTCTATCTTTCCACCAAATTGAGTTTGTGAGGACAAGTTCAGTAACACACATATTTGAATATCTACGAGTTCTACAGTACCAGGCATATTGTGGGGCTCAATAAATGTTGGCTGAATTGCACTGAAGTGTGAGATGGGAGGATTGATGGGTCAGAAAAAGAAAATTCAAAGCATGAAATCTTAAGTTTTTGAGGACCTCCACAGCTTAATTGAGTTGCAGGTCGGCAGAAACGCTGGAGGTGAGCCATGCGATCGCCATGAGATTATACTGAAGTGTGGTATTAACCATACTTAGGTAAGAACTGCTGTTTGAATTTTAACCCTGCTATTCTGGCTTTGGCACTCACTTGCTTAAACAACAGGGTAGTTGCCTCAGCTTCCAGATGGAGACCTGGAGGCTAAGGCAGTTTTCCTGAGCCTGTGGACCAAAACTACAGGAGATTGATTCCTACTGACTCAGTAGCTCCAGGAGTAGAAACTGTAGATAACCTTTAGAGATTAACCGCTGAGCTCTGCTTCTGTACTATCTGCTTTCGCTAGATAGGGCCACATTACAATGTCCAGCAGGATGTGGCTGGGAGCCGCCCTGTGGGCTGTTCTCAGCATTTAGAATTAAAAATTTAGAAGAGAGGATCCAAGATGGCTGCGCCCAGGTGAACACCTAGCCGCAGCCGCACACAACAATTTCAATAAAATACAACTAAAATATAAAACGGACATTGCCCAGAACTACAGGAAGGTTGACTGACTGGAAATCCTACAGTGAGAAGCAAGGAGAAAACCAGAAGGAGGTGCGGAGGAGCTGGAAAAGCCAAGGTACGGAGACGTGGCGCGCGGAGAGGACGGAGCCGGAGAGGAGGGAGGCCGAGTGCCTGGCGGGCGTTCCCTAGCAGAAAGGAGATAAAACTCCGACTGTGCTGGGCCCCCGACTGCTCTGATCCCCAGTTTTAAGCCAGACCCCGGGCACTCAGGCTCAGCCATAGGGAGCCGGGCTGTAAGGCGGAACCCCGGGGAAGTGGCGAAAGGAGGTCCCGGCGGTACGCACACTGCGCGCAGAGAAGGGACGGTCAGTCAGCTGTGCCGCGGGATTGCCCTGATGGGAAGGAGACTGGGGCTCCAGACTGCTCTGAACGCCACCTCCAACTCCACTTCCAGCTGAACTGAACCACAATACCGGGCTTGTTGGGGGAGAGCATAGACTGTTTGGCAGCAGGCGAAAATCGAGGGCACCTTTCTCTCAGAGGCCCCAGCAGCGAGCACTGATGGACCCGCATAGGGCGGGGCTGACGGAAGCCAAAGCTGCAGGCTCCACCCTGAAACCCCGTCCCATCTGTAACTGCGAAATGCGACAACAAAATAAACCACAAACGTAAGAAATGGAGGACAAAAAGCGTCTGGATATAGAGTTCAAATCTACGCTTATAAGGTTTTTCAAGAATTTCCTAGAAAAGATGGATAAGGCCTATGAGGATATGAAAAGAGATCAACTAGAATTAATAAGGAGTCATTGAGAAATGATAAGGGATCAACAAGAAATAAAGAATACATGGTCTGAAATAAAAAATATTTTACAGAGTCCTAAAAACAGAAGGGAAGATCACAAGAATCAAGTCAAAGATTTGGAACATAAAGAGCCAGAAGACACTCCTCCACAGAAGCTAGAAGGCAAGAGAATCCAGAAAATTGAAGATAATGTAAGAAACCTCTGGGACAACTTCAAGAGAACCAACATCAGAATTATTGGGGTCCCAGAAGATGAGAGACAGCAAGATATCGAAAACATACTGAAAGAAATAGTGACAGAAAACTTCCCCCACCTGGTGAAAGAATTAGACTTTCAAGTCCAGGAAGCGCACAGAACTCCAAACAAAAGGAATCCAAAGAGGACCACACCGAGACACATCATTATTAAAATTCCAAGAGCAAAAGACAAAGAGAGAATATTAAAAGAAGCAAGAGCAAAGAAGGTAGTAATCTATAAAGGAGCACCTATACGATTGTCAGCTAACTTCTCAACAGAAACCATGCAGGCCAGAAGGGAATGGCAAGAAATATTCAAGGTGATGAATAGCAAGAACCTACAGCCAAAAATAATCTACCCAGCAAAGCTATCACTCAGAATCAAAGGCCAGATAAAGAGCTTCACTAATAAAAAAAACTAAAGGAGTTCATCACCGCCAAACCAGAATTATATGAATTGCTGAAGGGGGTTCTTTCAGAAGAGAAAGTAAACAAAGATAAAAATTATGAACAACAAATATGTAACTATCAACAAGTGAATCTAAAAACCAAGGAAATTAAAAAAATCTGATGAACAATATTAACTATTGAATATAATAGAATCAGAGGTATGGAAGGGGAGTGAACTGACGATTCTTGGGGAAAAGGGGAGAGGGGGGTGTGGGAAGAGACTGAACATAAACTGTGCACCTATGGATGAGGACAATGGGGAGAGGGGAAAGGACAGAGGGTGGGGTGGGAACCAGGTGGAGGAGAGCAATGGTGGGGGGGAAAAAAAAGGAACATTTGTAATAATATGAACAATAAAAACTTATAAAAAAATAAAAAAATAAAAATTTAGAAGAAAGGAAAAATTTTGTGGTTTAGACCTTTAAAAGGACCACCTATACTTGGAATGGCACAGGTCGTGAGTGTGGACTCCACCTGGGTGTGGTGCTCTTGCTGACGTCCTAGCCAGTTCAATAAACCCTTGCCTGCTTTTAAAAAAATCAATTAGCAGCCTCCGGTGGTCTTATTTTTTACTCCAGGGTTAGACCCCACAACTATACAACTGTGAGGTCAAGACATTAACAAGAACACTGGTGGACAAAAATGACAAGCAGGCAGAACAAGGGGCAGCGAGTCTCTGGGATCTGGAATTAGGTACTAGTCTCCCCTTGCTAGGTTTACACTTTCTCAATCACCATGTTTCCTCTCTCCGCCCTCTCCCAGCACCAGCCCTCTCCCCACAATCACCACCCCAGTCTCCACTTCTGAATCATCTCCCTAGGGTCCCCAAGGCCCACAGGAGGCGCCGGGAACCTTGCAGGGGTGGGGAACCTCCAGCCTACGAAATCTTTTGGTCTTGCACAGCCAAGGCCTTAGGGATGAGTTAATTTAAATATCTGACCAACTATAGCAGGCTAATTTTAAAGTTGATAATTTTGTATGCCCCTTGGTTCCCCGCCCCCCCCCCCCCAAAAAAAATTATGTTATACATATCCCAATGGCCCCTGGGCCCTGGCAGAAAAAAGGTTCCCCACCCCGGGAGAGAAAAGCCAGGTGCTTCGGGACAAGGTGGTGCTTAACATAAGGTGACCAGACTTCCTGCTTTTTAACAATTTGTCCCGCGGCGTTTTAAAAAACTACCGATTTTTGGAGAAACGACGCGGGACAAATTGTTAAAAAGCGGGACGTCTGGTCACCTTAGCTTAGTAGCTCTGACACAAAAGCCCACTATCACCCGTGAGGGTCACAAGGCCAAAGGGCCCGGCGACCTCCCCACAGCGTCCACCGCGCGTCCATTTCCGCTTCCGGATGGTTTTCCTCCGAGGGCTCTCTCTCGGCCTCCACAGCCCCGCGGCGAGGGGAGCCGCCACGCTGCAGCTCTCGCGTGACTTCCAGAGCTCGCGGCTGGGCGGCGGCCAGCAGGGCCGTCTCCCCAGACGCCAAGTGACGTGGGGAGGTGACTCGTGTTTCTCCTGATGTGAAGCGACAGATGTTGAGCTCAAACACAGGTTCTACACTCAGCCTGCGCACCCACAGGGCCCCTAGGCTCTAACGCTCTGCCCAAGAGCCAACCCTCCTAGGCGAGGGCTCCACTCCGCCTTCCCGCGGGGGCGGAACCGGAAGGGGAGGGTCTCTCGCCGCCATGGCCGCCCGCGGGGTCGTGGGCATCTTCCTCCTCTCCGCGCTCCCCCTCTTGTGTCTGGAGTTGCGGCGTGGGATCCCCGAGCTGGGTAAGTGTTGGTGTGTTTCCCTCGGGGCGCCCACACCAGGTCACTTTCCCGTGAGTGTGACGTACAAGTGCCCGCGTTGACTACGACTCCCAGGCTGCCTCGCGCCCACGTCCCGCTTCCGGCGCCGGGTCCCTCCCCACTCCCGCCCGCAGTCGGCGGGGGACACTGGGCGCGAAAAATGTCCCTGCAGACCTGGCGCGTTTTCGCGTGGGAGGGGACAGACGCAGAAAGCAAAGGGGCAATGTGACGCAGGCCTCCTGAGGAATCTAAAGGGATGTGAATGATCGGGAGCCGCCGCTTTGAAAACCTGGGCAAACACATTGCAGACACACAGAATTGTGACGCGTTGGAGGAAAAGGATGAAGACCGCTGGCCAGTCGGGGAGAATATGGGAAGGAGAGTGGCTGAAGATGCATGCACTCATTGAGCACCTGTTATGAGCCTAACACTAAGTGCTCTTTCATTCTCCAGTCTGGGTACTCTATTTTTAAAAATATATTTTATTGATTTATTTTTTATTTAAAAAATATATTTTATTGATTTTTTTTTTTTTTTTTTTTTGAGAGAGAGAAAGGGAGAGGGATAGACAGAAACAACTATCAGCTGCCTCCAGCACACCTCCCACAGGGGATGTGCCCACAACCAAGGTACATGCCCTTGACCTGAATCGAAGCCGGGACTTTTCAGTCTGCAGACCAACGCTCTATCCATTGAGCCAAACCAGTTAGGGCTTTTGTTGATTTTTTTTTTTTTTTTTTTTTTTTTTTTTTACAGGGAGGAAGGGAGAGGGATAGAGTTAGAAATATCGATGAGATAGAAATATCAATCACCCTCTATTGGGGATGTGCTCACAACCAAGGTACATGCCTTTGACTGGAATCGAACCTGGGACCCTTCAGTCTGTAGGCTTATGCTCTATCCACTCAGCCAAGCCAGTAAAGGGTAATCTGGGTACTCTTACAACTCTAATAACAGTTGAGGAAACAGATGTAGGGAGTAAGGTGCCCTAAGGGAGTAAGGGCCCTGACACAAAACCTAAGTGCCCTAAGGTTTTAAACAGGTCACAGGTCAGTGTGGAGAATGTCCAGGAAGGAAGCTGGAGTGGAAGCAGTGGGGCAGCTTATGTTTGGAAGTAGGCAAGTAGTGATGATAGCCCAGACGATGATAAATGTGCAGATTTGGGATATTTACAAAGTACAACCACTGGGTTTGTTGGTGGGTAATTTGAGAAAAGGGAAAGGAGGAATTCAAGGATGACTTACATGTGAGTGGAACAAAGCCATCAATAAAAGAAAATGGTGGACCTGTGGAACATCAATCCCATTTTTGGACTTATAAGGGTTCAGTTTAGGTATCTCCTCATTAAACCTGGTTCTAAAGTTAGAGACCCTGATGCAACTCAGCTTTACTATTCCTGTCTTCCCATTCTCCCTCAGCCACCCCTAAGAAGTCAGGTACCCATGAATGTTCCTTGAAATAAAATAATACAGTAAGGCTCTGAGTTCAGTTCCTGGTCAGACCACATACAGAAGCAACCAAGAAAGGCAGAATAAGTGGAACAACAAATCCACATTTCTCTCTCTCTTCCCCTCTCTCTTCAAAATCAATTTTAAAAAGTTAAGAAAAGAAATTAAAATGCTTTTTAAAAATTTTACAAAGACCCTCAGAAGCCTGATTCAACTCAAGATGTATTGAAATCTAACAAGACCGTTATCGAAATGAGATATACAAATGTGCCCAAAACATGTATGCACATTTTAACAGCTGATAGCTCAATTTTGAAAATGAAATGTATTTTAATAAACACTGCCTTTATAATTATTCATAGTGTGCGTATAAATTTTTTGGGATGCCCTATAGAAATGTTAAATTCACACTTACCTATTACAGAATTCACTTTGCTCTGTCACTTCTACAGCGTTCACCTCTATTCTGCCCATTTGGAATCTTCTACTTTGAACTAATATTTGAGTCACAGGTCAATGAGAAGGTGGTTGTTGAGGTTGCTGAAAGATATTTGTTCACATAATCAGCTCTGACCACACTTCTGTACACTTGGTGAGGGCAGAGACCAATCTAATTTGTTTTTGTATTCCTAGCACTTAACATAATCTCTAAATTAATAAAGATAGGCCAAAAATTATAGAAAATACAGCTGGGTCCCTGACAACATCACCTAGTAGTTCCTTTAGTTTTCATTTAACTTCTTTTTCCTAAAATCCTGTGTGAAATTATGATTGTTTACTTTTCTTTTTTTTAAAATAGTATATTTTTAGTGATTTTTAAAGAAAGGGAGGGAGAGAGAAACATCGATGGGAGAATAACATCAATATTGATCGCCTGCCTTGATATTGGTTCTGTAATTATCCACTGACAGTATTTTAAGTCTGTTTTGCCAACCATACATCCCAATGCAGCAGCTACAAGGCTAGTTATGTGTGAAACTGTGCTTAAAGATATTGATATTCTTAGCTGGAGCTGCTAATTGAATTTTGGGGTGGGAGGTGGTGGTGGGGAAGAGAGTAGAATGCCAAGACCCATTCATTCCCATGTGGGCTGTATTTTTGGACATACATTGAAAAATGATCCCTAGCCAGGACTGGTTTGGCTTCAGTGGATAGAACGTCGGCCTGCGGACTGAAAGGTCCCGGGTTCGATTCCAGTCAGGGGCATGTACCTTGGTTTCGGGCACATCTCTAGTAGGGGATGTGCAGGAGACAGCTGATCAATATTTCTCATCAATGTTTCTAGCTCTCTATCCCTCTCCTTTCCTTTCTGTAAAAAATCAATAAAAAATATATATATTTTTAAAAAGAATAAAAAACGAAAAAAAAGAAAAATTATCCCTGCTTTTTTCTACTGTATAAAGCCTTCATTGCCAATGCATTTTTACTTGTACTCAAGCTAAGTACAAGTCAGTTTTAATTCTGGTTCCTCACACTCGTTATCCATTAAATGACCTGCACATGGGCTCTTGAGAGTAGGTACAAAACTTTTTTTTTTATTTTGTACAGAGAGGAAGGGAGAGAGATAGTTAGAAACATCGATGAGAGAGAGTCATCGACCAGCTGCCTCTTGCACACCCCCTACTGGGGATGTGCCCGCAACCAAGGTACATGCCCTTGACCGGAATCGAACCCGGGACCCTTCAGTCCCCAAGCCGAAGCTCTATCCATTGAGCCAAACCGGTCTCGGCGGTACAAAACTTTTTTAAAAACTTTTTTCTTACCTGAAAAATGTACATACAAACTATTTTCTATTTCCATATAACATTTGCAAACTGTTTGCTTGTTAGAACAGAAAGCAATATTATGGGACATAAATCTCATAACTGAGTGGTTTCTTTAAATACCAGAACTCTAATATGAAATTACTTTTGTGATGGCCAGTTACTCCAGACTTACTTGTTGTATTGAGCCATGCCTGAGTCAGTAGTTAATGCTGTCAAAAGTTGGAGGGACTGCGATGCAAAGATATAAATGTAAATATAAATATATATCTGTCTGCATCTATAATTCCTTCTTTAATTTTCAGCTAATTCACTAACTACTAGTCACATCACATTGGTAAAATGTTTCCTCTGTACCTCTCCCTGGTAATTTTGAGACTTACAGAATTAAACTAAAAATTCCTGGCGGGTAGAAACCATTTGTAACCCAACTTTATAGCTCCATTCCTTCACCATTTAGCAAGTTATATTGCACAAAGTGGGCACTTGTTACATTTTTGCTGACTTAATTTTCATCTTGGTTCTTAAAACAATATGTACGACCAAATACTGATTTTTTTTTCTAGGTAAACACATATATAGTAATTTTATATACAAATGACCAAATGAGACATAAAGTGTACATACACATGCAAAAGATAAAGTACAGTTTCAAAATATAACGGTGAGAAATAAGAAATTGGTGCTCAGTGGAAATGACTGTGTGTGTATGACTTTTTAAATATAGAATTTGAAAAGATGATAACATCACCATTTAATTTTTAAATGTATGGATAGTTTTATCTCCTTCTCTGGGCAGAAAGGAAACTAGAATTTATGCATTAATGATAGTCCTAATATTTATAATGTAGATAGTCACTTGCATTAAACTTATATTACTGGGACAAAAGATGTTCTAGAATTGTTTTCTGAAAACTTTTTGGTATTGACAAACATGATGAATTTTGGTGCCTAAAGGATATGAAAAATCATAAGACAGTTGCATAACTTAAATTTTATTGTATTTTTCTAGGACAAATAATTTTCTAATGTGTTATTACTTAGTAGTAGTATCAAGATAAGTGTTTTTAATTTTAATATTTTTTCTTTATAAGGAATTAAAGATATAATTTTGCTGTGTGGCCGGATTTTCTTACTGCTTGCTCTTCTTACTTTAATTATCTCTGTGACTACCTCATGGCTTAACTCATTTAAACCTTCCCAAGTTCAACTGAAAGGTAAGTTTATTGTTTACCTTTTTATACTATTTTTAAATTTTTTTATTGTTTTAAGTTTTACATGTGTCTCCTTTTCCCCTGATTGACCTCCCCCACCACTCCCACCTCCCAGAACAAGCCCCCATTGCCCCAGTGTCAGTGTCCATTGGTTATGCTAATATGCATGCATACAAGTCCTTTGGTTGATCTCTAACCCTTCTCCCCTGCCTTCTCTCTGAGGTTGGACAGTCTTGTTCAGTGTTACCTTGTCTCTTGATCTATTTTTGTTCATCAGTTTATGTTGTTCATTATATCCCACATATGAGTGAGATCATGTGATATTTATCTTACTCTTAACTGGCTTATTTCACTTAGAATAATGCTCTCCATTTTCATCCATGCTGTTGCAAATGTTCATATACTGCAATGGAATACTATACTGTATTCCATTGTGTAGATGTACCACAGTTTTTAAATCCACTCATGTGCTCATGGGCACTTAAACTGTTTCCAAATCTTAGCTATTGTAAATTGTGCTGCTATGAACATAGGAGTGCATATATCCTTTTTGATTGGTGTTTCTGGTTTCTTGGGATATATATTTTTCTAATGAAATGTTTTCTTTATATATTCTAGAACACATGTGTCAAACACAAGGCCTGCGGGCCAAATCCGTCCCGCCAGGCCTTGCAATGTGGCCCGCACCGTGCTGTCATCACTGCACTCCGCTGCGTTTCCATCACAATGACAGTTTATGACTGTTCAGTAAACCATTCGGCCCGCGATTTAGGCTGGATTTTAGATTTTGGCTCCTTCTCTGATTGAGTTCGACACCCCTATCTAGAACTTTGCACAATAAGAACCATTTACCATTAATTTGTGCAGTGTAATTTCAAGGTACAGTAATCATTACGACTTGAGGCGTGATTTTTAATGGACCATAAATCCCAACATTTTTATGAGAAATCTCATATTTTCCTTACATATTCAAAACTATATAACTTTTAGGTTTGTACATTGAAAATTCTCATTTTAAATTGTGCAGCTTAACTGCTGTTTCCTAGGTACACCTTATAAACTATTATACAAATGTTAAATATGTCTATCATTAATCTCTAAAGACTTTTTATCCTAAGTTATTTTCACTGGAGGCCCGGTGCCTGAAAATTCATGCACCGGAGGAGGGGGTCCCTCTCATAGTCCGGGAGCTTGCTTCAGAGCAGACCTCTTCCTACTGATTTTATTGCAGATTTCTTAGTTTCAACTGTCGGCATGCATCTCATTTTCATTATTTTTCAAAATATCTGTGGTTTAAAGGCTTGTCTAAAAACATTTTAAGATCTACAGACTACAGATTATTTTAAGAGAAAATAGCATTCAACTTATTGATACTTGGGAATTAAAAAACACTTCTATGTTTTGATGTCTTAGATGAAGAAGAGAAGAATGGGCAAAGGCAAAAACTGGCGAGGAAAAAACAACAAGAGGCACAGGGTGAAAAGGTAAAGCATAATTTTTAGCTAATATATCTAGAAAGAATACAGAAATACCTGGGGCGCTTAAAATTTAGTCTATTGGTGTCTGTGCTCAGATTTTTTAAACTATTGAGGTCAAATTCAATGATTTAAAATTAACCATCCTAAAGGGTACAATTCAGTGGCATTAACGGTCACAAGGTTGTGCAACCACTACCTCTGTCTAGTTCCAAAACATTTCCTTCGCCTCCAAAGAAACCCCACCTTTCAGCTGCATCTTCCATTTAATTCACCAAAATGCCGAACACATAGGAAAGAAGAGAGGCATCCCCTTATGTTTTCAAGACTCAGAGCTCATTAGGAAACCTGGAGCGGCTCCTCTGGCAGAATACATTGTGAATCTACAAGACAGATGCTATTGTAGACATCCAGGGATTGGGCACTGTTCAGAATGCCCCACAAATGTTTCCATGGCAAACTGGAAGATGCGTCACCCCCATGTGGTAGGCACCGTTGTAAACAAACAAGGGCGAGGTTCTTGCCAAAAGAATGAATGTACCTATTGAGCATGGTAAGCACTCGAAGAACCGAGCTAGCTTCCTGAAAAGTGGGAAGGAAAGTGATTAGAAAAAAGAAGGAAGCCAAAGAGGAAGGTACCTGAGTTCATCTGAAGTGTGAGCCTGCTCCACTCAGAGAAGCACACTTTGTGAGAACCAGTGGGAAGGGGCCTGTGCTGCTGGGACCCATTCCCTATGAATCCATGGCATGGTAAACGTAAAAAAAAAGGAAGAAAGAAAAAACCCATATCCATTAAGCAGTTACTTCCTCATTTCCCCTCCTTTCATCCTCTGGCAGCCACCAATCTGCTCTCTGGACGTGTTTATCTGTTCTGGATATTGCATATAATGAAATCATAGAACATCATGGCCTTTTGTGTCTGGCTTTTTTCACTTAGCATAATATTTTCCAGTGTTCATCCGTAGAGCACGTATCAGAACTTCATTCATTTTTATGGCTGAGTGATTTTCTGTTGCCTGGAACTATCAAAATTCAATCATTCATTCTCTGATGAACATTTAGGTTGTTTCCTCCTTTTGGCTTTTGTGAATAGTGCTGCTAGTGTTAACTGTTTGATAGAATTAACCAGTGAATCCATCTGGTCCTGAGTTTTTCTTTGGTGGTTTGTAATTACTGATTCAATCTCTCCTTGGGTCTGTCCTGTTTCTTCTTGAGTCAGTTTTGATAATTTGTGTATTTTTAGGGATTTGTCCATTTCATTTTGGTTATCTAAAAATTGTCATATTCTTTTTTATTTCTATAAGGTTAGTAGTAATATCCCCATATTCATTTCTGATGTTATTTTTTTCTTAGTCAAGTTATAGGTTTGTCAATTTTACTCATTTTCTCAACTAACCCATTTCTGGTTTTGTTGGTTCTATTGTTTTCTAGAATTCTGTATGTTTTTATCTCTTCTGTAATCTTCATTGTTTGCTTCCTTATTAATTCTAGCTTTGGATTTAAGTTTTTTATTTCTTGTTTTTTAAAATGTAAAGTTTAATGACTTGAGATCTTCTTTAATTAGATGTTATGTCAATTACCACTCCTCCATCTGCCCTCACATATTTACTTCATCAGTAATGAAATTTGGAGTCCAAAAATAGTTTCTACTTTAACGTGATCGAGCTATCAATTAATCTTCTTCCAAATGAGTTCATGTCTTGGACAAATTGTCCTGGCTTTAAGCTCCTAGAAGGAATCTTTGCATCCCCAGCCCTCAGTTTTTGTTGCATTGAAAATACATTAAATGATATAGAGGCGACTGCCATACAAGCAAACGTATAGAACATTTGTGTTTATTTGCATTATGTACAAATGCAAATGTTTAGAGAGTGATGCAAAGGTGGTAGATGCTGCTTTTTTTGGAAAAATTGAGTTAATGTGAAAACAACTTCTAAGTTGGTTCTCACTGACAACTTTATAGACAATGTAAAATCTTAGGAATGTCATTGTATAGTAACACCACCTAATTTACTTTTTTGAACAGGCCAGCAGATACGTAGAGAATGTTCTAAAACCTCATCAGGAAATGAAATTGAAAAAACTGGAAGAGCGCTTTTACCGAATGACGGGTGAAGCCTGGAAGTTAAGCCATGGTCATAAACTTGGGGTTAGAAAATACTCCACGTTATATTTTGAATTCTATTACTTACGTTTCGTTTTACATATATTGATTTTTTTTAATTGCAAATGATATTAACCTGCTAATGCAGCCATTTTTAGGATGTTTTATTAGTGGTTATATATCAATTTTTATTCAGCATATTTGTGTGTTGAGCAGTTAAATGCCTAAGAACATGTAACTTAGAGCCTTGGAAGGCTCTGACATAAGGTAATCTTTAAGAAAACTATTGGCTCTATCACTGTGTTTCATATGAGGGAATTCACATTTTTCTCAAGGGAGAGCTCCAAGGTATAAGCTCACATTTATTCACTTTGTTTGGCCCTTCTTTTGTAAAGCCAAATTAACCTTTGACTCTTTTTTCCTTTGGCCTCAAATACAAACGCTGTCATTTGCTCCTGGAAGTTTATAATTTCGTCTTCTTACAGAGGAAAAAGGATATTTATCAATGAATTACGTTTTAGAATAACTGGCTATAGGTTTTATGTGTAACATTATTTATGTCCCCAAAACTTACTTGCTTTTTGTTTATACTGCACCTGTCACCATGTTGTAAAGAAAGGGACTTGGTAAAGGTAGGTGAACAGGATTTCTATAGTGAAGCAGAATCAGTTTTTATTTATTGCATAATGGTAAACATATCACTAAACAATCAAGGGTGGATATTAAAATTAATGCGAAATGCACCTGCTCCATATGGTGATTTCACTTCTGAGTTGAAGTTGCCTTTTGTTCAGTTTTGTTAGCCTTATTTTAGTCTGCCATGTCTTTTTCTGAAATGGTCACAACGTGAATTAGTATTCTGTCCCTTGCTTTTACACTGTATCTTCATGGTACCTGTAGTACCATGGCTAGTGGGGACAACAAGAAGTTGGACTGGGTGGACCGTCCGTGTTGTTTATAACGTAAGGCTCTCAGGACTATCAAAGAACGTGAGGATTGGGATGTGGGGCTGAAAGAAAGTCTCTGTCAGCTGCTCCAGCCCCGGAAGTGGCTTAAGTTTGCTCAGTTAATTGTTTAGCATCAGGATCTCTTGACTTCCTTTCCCTATGCTCCTTCTACAACTTCTCTTAGGATAGAGGGATGGGGAAAGCTGTCCATCAACATGGTGGCCATTTTAGTCTGATAAAGAGAACTTTTAGAAGGTCAGTGGATATGGAAGGAAGACATTAGTGAGCTAATAAGTACATATTGGAGAATTTGACACTTAAGGGAATTATCTTGACACTTAAGGGAATTTTAATACATAATATTAATAAAAATAATCTTTATGATTTCTGGAATAAAATCCTTTGCCTCCTAAAGTGATTAATTCAAATGGAAGCTCAAAGTTTTAATTTGAGAACTAAAGCATGTGTACATATGACAAGATACTAGGGCTGCATTCAGCTATGGAAGTTTTGCATCACACACAAGCATGTCAGACTCATGGCCAGCAGCCATATGTGAGTGTGATATGCTTGAGAAACATGTTTTTATATATGTGTACTATTTTCATAGCCGTTTAAGGCAGCATTCCTTGCACTGCCTTGCTTCCTTTGCTAAAAGGAGGAAAGGATATCTCCAGGTTTTCTTCTTTCTTCCATCCTACTGAAACCTTGGGAGTCAATTAAAATGGAAAGGCCTGTCTCAGCCTTGTATCCATCAGACCAAACACCTGCTCTGGATAAGGAGAGTGTCTACAAGCTCCATGTTTTTCTGTCTATGGAGATAATGCTTTAATTTTCTGGGTCTTATAGTGACTTAACTATATTTTCTATTGGAATGCCATCAGGGTAAGAGAAATAACCATTGTGAATACAGTTGATAGGAAGCAACTCTTTAGAAATTGTCTGTTGTTTTTGACTAGGGTGATGAAGATTTGGCGGTTGAAAATGACAGTCAGACATCTTTTGAAACAGCAAACAGAAAAGCAGCAAAGAGACGGAACTTGCCTAAGCCTTCAACCAAGGTTTCACCACCTGCTGAACAGCCCACACAGAAGGAGGTTGGTTACTTAATGCCTGCTCCTTGCACTGTCCCGTGGTATGGCAGGAACCTTGTTCTGTGAGTGAGATGGTACACTGAGGGAAGAGGGACTGGCTTTTTAATCCAGATGTTTTCCCACTAGTTTACAAAGTGATCGCCTTCATTAAGGGTCACTTTCCCTGCTTACTATTAGTGTTCTGAACCAAACTTAGGAGGAAGCTATGACGAGAAATGATAATAGGTTAGAAAATACTCAGTTCTTTTTGAGGAAGTAACTTGGTTATGTAGAAATAAAAAAATATAATGTTTACTAAGAAAACATCCCTATGGGTAGCTGAGACATGGTTAAGCCATATTTAGTGAGTGGCTACAGTTAACATGAGTGTTTCATTTTCCTCAGTGGCACTTCTAGGGAATGGGTCAGTGACCATTCCTTTGGAACAGTGCCCAGGTTTATTATCCCATCTTTCCTTTCAAACTTTTCATCCTTCAGTTAAATTTGAAGCTAGCAAAGATTGGAAATAAGTGTTTTTACTGCCTCTTAGGGAAAGCTGATAGGTTATCTATGCAGTCCTTGAAAGTGGTTTCTAATGTATTGCTTCTCAGTCTGAGGTTTCCTTATCCCTTATAATTATAAAACCTATATATTTTTATAACCAATGTTACTCCAATAAGATCAGCCTATATATATAGGCTTTTCCAGAACTTAAAGTCAGCAAATGAGTTCTTTTTAAATATATTTTATTGATTTTGTACAGAGAGGAAGGGAGAGAGACAGAGAGCTAGAAACATCGATGAGAGAGTTATCGATCAGCTGCCTCTTGCACACCCCCCACAGGGGATGTGCCCGCAACCAAGGTACATGCCCTTGACCGAAATCGAACCCGGGTCCCTTCAGTCCCCAAGCCGACACTCTATCCATTGAGCCAAACCGGTCTTGGCTGCAAATGAGTTCTTTTATTAAAAGATGAAAATGGAGCTTGGGCCAAAACTGGTTTGGCTCAATGGATGGAGCATCAGCCTGCGGACTGAAGGGTCCCAGGTTCGATTCTGGTCAAAGGCATATACCTTGGTTGTGGGCACATCCCCGGTAGGGGGTGTACAAGAGGCAGCTGATCGATGTTTCTAACTCTCTATCCCTCTCTCTTCCTCTCTGTAAAAAAACCAATAAAATATATTTTAAAAAAAGAAAGAAAGAAAGAAAATGGAGCTTGAAGGTGAAAATCAGGTCATGGAACTATTTCTTACATTTCAAAAGATCTAATGACCTGGATGGACTAGTTAAAAATTCAAGATTCTTTGCTTTGACTGGCACATGCTTTTGATACCAAAGGAAAACAAGTGGTTTATTTAATAAATGCAATTAGTGTTAGTTAGATGAAATGTTATAAAATGTGAATTTCTATGGTATTAAACAACAAAACCTAGAGGTGAAATTGTTGGTAATAAGTATTTTAATGAGAGAAAATTGTCTGAACACCTGGTTTTAAAAGAGATTAACCGAAACAGGGAAGCATTAAGTAAATTGTGAAAGCAACCAAAGTGAAGGGTTGTTAACTAGTCCTGTAGAATTGCCAGTGAATAAAAACATGCACTCATCTTAACATGTATATATGTATGAATCTAAATTATTTTTTGGCTTAATGAAATGTGTACAGATAGGTAGCTGTCATCTTAAAATTCTATTTTTATGATCTTTTGTTAGCACAAGGTTGCTTACCCAAACATGTTTAATTGAGCTCTCATTCGCATTGTAAACTTACAAGTGAATATGAAAATATTTCATTTAGCTTAGATGTATTTAAACTCTATATTGAAAAGAAACTCTTCTCATTGAGATAATTCTTTTCTTCAAAATGTTTATATTCATTCCTACTAGAGGCCTGGTGCACCTGTCCCTCAGCCAGGCCTGCACCCTCTTGCATTCTGGGAGCCCATAGGGAGTAGGCCTAAGCCATCAGTCAGATATCCTTAGCGTTTGCCAGCCATGAGGCTGGATTCTGGCTGAGTAGTGCTCCCCCTGTGGGAATGAGCATCTGCCCCCTGGTGGTCAGTGCACATCATACTGACTGGTCGTTCCACTGTTTGGTCGATTTGCATATTAGCCTTTTATTATATAGGATTACTAATAGTTACTTTTCTTTAGGTTTCAGATTTACCTGAAGAACCCTCTGAAACAGCTGAAGAAGTAAGATTTTTTTTTCTTTAAAAATATATTTTCTATTTCCTTTAACATCAAGTATATCTTGTCTAAATTTGGGTTTTGAAAATGAAGATAGCATATGTGTTTCTGTAATTGCACTGTAACTAATCTTGTTTTGAATATGGTAATATCAAAAAACCCCGCCCCTCCCTCAGGTCCTGTTTTGGAAGCCTTATGTCTACTGAGTGTGTTTTTAGAGCTTAGGCAGAGTTAGAATACATGGCTTTTCTATAGAATTTACACCTGAAACCTATACAATTTTATAACCAATATCACCCCAATAAATTCAGTTGGGGGGAAAAATATATATGAATACAGACTTTTCCAGAACTTAAAGTCAGCAAATGAGTTCTTTTATTAAAAGATGAAAATAGGCAGATGACTTCTAATTGCAGTTTTCCCCTTAAAAAAGAGAAAGCAAAGAATGCAGCTACTCTTTAGATGTTTGAATGGAAGGATGGTTCGGACTGAATCCCACTCTGCATTGAGCTGCTTTTTGCCCAAGTGCTTTGTTATAATCTAAGCTGTCGTTCGGCCACTGCCCAGCTTAGTTTTAGACACATCCCCAATTCACTGGAGCATATATCTTTAAAGACATTAAGTCATTTAGGCAAAGGAGAGCCCTGCTGGTTTTCCATTACTAGAGCTCAGTGAGTGTTAGACTTCTTAAAAGTCATTTTTACAACAGTCAAGAAAGCCATTGGGAGTAGTTCATTGTTGTCAACACATTTGTAACATTTAAGTTTAGAACTTTGGGTGTCAGAGGAAAATCCAAAAGTCCTACAGAAATAGAGATAATGAAGTGTAAAATGCAGGAGAAACACAGTTGTTTTTTGTTTTTTAAAATATATTTTATTGATTTTTTACAAAGAGGAAGAGAGAGGGATAGAGAGTTAGAAACATCGATGAGAGAGAATCATCGATCAGTTGCCTCTTGCACATCCCTTACTGGGTTTTAAAAACATTACACATTACACACATTCCTAATTCCTCCCCATTATTCGTGATAAATTCATGCCTATGTTATATCTGTCCTGAAACACATTCTCAGTTCTTGTCAAGCTCTGAGTTGGTATCTGTGACAACAGTGTGTAATACAGGAGTATTTAAATATAGCTCATTTTGACAGGGAACACCTCTGATGAATTTACTCTGGCTTTTATTTTTATTTTTTATTATTTTTATTTTTAAAAAAATATATTTTATTGATTTTTCTTACAGAGAGGAAGGGAGAGAGAGAGAGAGCTAGAAACATCGATGAGAGAGAAACATCGACCAGCTGCCTCTTGCACACCCCCTACCGGGGATGTGCCCGCAACCAATGTACATGCCCTTGACTGGAATCGAACCTGGGACCCTTCATTCCACAGACCGATGCTCTACCACTGAGCCAAACCGGTTTCGGCTACTCTGGCTTTTAAACACATGAAATTATTTTACACAACAGCAGTTTATCACCAAAGGTGCATGGGTTATAGAGCCCAGGTTGTCAGCAAATCCTTTTAATTATACCTTTTTGTGGTTCTATGTAAAAGGACAGTGCTTTTCCCCCAATCTCAGACCTTCTGTCCCTAAAAAGGTTGAGGATCCTTCACCACAGAGGCAGTTGATGTTGCTTTCCTCTTGTAGAGAGTTATTTATAGTCATTCCATTTTGTTTTCTTTACCCTTTTCCAGTACTTGTTAGGGGATGTTTTGTGTTACAGTCATTAAAGTTTATGTCAGAGTAATGGAATTTAATGGAGCCTAAATAGCTCATCCCATCTCCCTACTTGAGGCTGAAGCCACAGAGGGAGGAGTTTCCGAGGAACCTGCTGGGAGAACGGAGGCTCTGGCTGTAGCCAGTACTCCCCTTACTCACCCTGTAAGCAGTACTGTCCTTCTTTCCTTCTCCCTTCTCTGATGTTTGATCCTCCTTGTTCTGTTTTGGGTTAATAAAGTCAACAAAATTATAGTAAATAATTGTTACCTGAGAATCACATGTAAAATATATGCACTATATATTGTTTTAATTGGTATAAGCAATTTTTATAATAAAGTTTTATTAAGAATATTAAGAATGCCACTAATATAGTTAGTTGATATAGTATAGTTAGTTGATACTTTTACAGTGTATTTTATTCCACACTAATCAAGAAAAGCTAAGTATTGGAATATTTTGATTTTACCAAAATCATCATTGGGAAAGGCATTTTCCATCTATACATTTGCTACTGCGTTAGACTTCTAAGAAGTCAGTATAAAAATTCTTAATTCCCTACCAACTAGTCATAAGCTGTTAGTCTGATTTCTCTGGGTGACTTTAAATAAATACCCTTTTATTGATTTCAGAGACAGGAAGGGAGAGTGAGAGAGGAATAGAAAAATCAGTGGTGAATCATTGTTTCTGCATGCCCTCTACTGGGGATTGAGCCCACAACCCAGGCATGTGCCCTGACCTGGAATTGAACGGTGACCTGGGTTCATGGGGTCCTGATTTATAAGGGAGGGAGGGATGTGAAATATAATTAATGCAGTTCTTTCTTAAGTAGTACACTCTGATTTTGTAATACCTGTTACCATATTACCACAGTAACCACTTTCATTTTTATATGCTATCTTACTTCATTTTAAGAAGAACCTGTATCAAATTTTAATGATTGCTGCTACTTCTAATTTATATGTAATTTAAAAATCTGCATTTGTGACAATGATGTACTTTCTAATTTTGGATTGTATCCCAGGCATTTTATCCATTCATAAGTCAGTCCAGTACACTGTTGGTAATATAATGAGAAAATGCACAACCAACTTTCACAATACAGAACAGTTGCTAGATTTCAAACAATAATAGTTCATTTCTCTCAAGTTTCACTTAATCATAATGGAAAAAGCATTAATTCACTATATTTTAACCCCGGTTTCTCATAAAGCATTTGGCTTTAATTCTGGACCAGATCACGGAACAAACCATCTCTGAAAAAGTTAAATCTTATTTCTAAAAATAAGCAAAATTGACTTTTTCGTTTGTGATTCAGTTATTCTGTATTTCTTTGTTTTATTATAAAACTTTTACGTAGAAATAATGACAGCTCAACTGATTTGGATGTGAGTCAAATACCTTAAATACTTGAATGGAAATATTTTCTAATATGGCTTTCCTCAAGGGGGTAGGTACTATTATAAAACCACCACTTCACCCTCGCTGGTTTGGCCCAGTGGATAGAGCGTCAGCCTTTGCACTGGGTTTGATTCCGGTCAAGGGCACATGCCTGGGTTGTGGGCTCGATTGTGCAGGAGGAAGCCAATCAATGATTCTCTTTCATCATTAATGTTTTTATATCTCTCCCTCTCCCTTTATCTCTAAAATCAATTTAAAATATGTACAAAATACCACCATTTCTCTATACTGTGATACTCACGTAACTTCAGACTGTAAGAAAGGGTTTCCTGACAGTTAAATAATGAACGTCAGAAGAAATGACTAATTCCTCACCTTTTCTTTTTAGAATGTCCTTTAGTATACTAGCAGTGTGTAAGCTCTTTATAGCTGTTTTACTGACAGTTTTATCAAAGGGAAGGTTACGGGAAAACTTGGTACATGATGCAGATAATGCAGGACTGATCCCACGATAGTTCTCCGAGCTCTCAGCAACCAGGACCAGCTCTCGTCTGTCTCCTTTGCTTGGATGGCCGAGGCATGGTGCACAGCCCACAGCAGTAGAGTGGACTGGGGGACTTTTTGTTCCCTTCAATCCACTGTTTCTCTGGTCTGAAGACTGAGCTGGCACTGGACCTTCCTGGTCGGGGAGGCCACTGTTGAAGCCCAATTGCAGCCTGGATGTGATCTGGACAGGCAGATTGTTTAGTCTCTGTACCCTCTCTGGAAGGCTCTCCTCAGTCCATAGGAAGATGTTTTTCAGTTCCAGAATTATTTCTGCTTAGTGAATTTTATATGGACTCTGTGTTGGTCCAGTCTCTCAGAGCTAATTCCTGCAAAATCCCTCGTGAGTTTTTATAATCACAGATGTTATCGTTTTGGAATTGCATAGAGCAGTGGATTGGAATTCTTATCTGAACATTTTTTCCCCCCTCAGGTAGTTACTGTAGCTCTCCGGTGTCCAAGTGGGAGTGTCCTGAGGAGAAGGTTTCTTAAGTCTTGCAGTTCACAGGTGAGGAAATTTGTATTTTGAGAAATATTTTTAATAAATTTTACAATAGTTTATTCTCATGCAGTGGGAGAGATTTTACCTGTTACCTGGTACTCTCATCACATACATGTAGTCCATGTTGAGGAAAAAGAGCATTTCTATGTATATACTACGTTGCAGAAACTTGGGTAATTAGGCCTGCTGGGTCCTTTTGAACTGATTGCTGCAAATGTTTTTTCCATTTTCCTATTTATTTTTTGTCTTTTTGTAGTTGTGGTTACAATTGCATTTTTACAGCTTGGAGGGTAAGATGCTTTCAAAGCAGCCGGTATTAACTTTGTTCCCATTATCCATTAGTTCCTGCTTGATTTTGATGTGGCCAAGATTATGATTCAAATTATTTTCCCCCCAGATGCTAACCTTTTGTTCTGAATCTTTTTATTTTTCATTCTTTTTTCCCCCTTGCTTTTTCTCAATGTTTTTATTGAATAATGAGAAGCCCGATGCATGAAGATTCGTGCTAGGATGGGCCTTCCTCTCCCTGGCTGCCGGCAATGCCTTTCCACTCCAGCCCGCCTTCCCACACTGCCCTGAGACCCTGAGAGACCGGGGCTGGGGCAGAACACCTGTGTTGCTCGCCCCCAGTCACTCAGCGCCTGTGTATGCAAATTAACCACCATCTTTGTTGGGCCAATTTGCATATCACTCCTGATTGGCTGGTGGGCGTAGTGGAGGTACAGTCAACTTACATGTTTGTCTATTATTAGGTAAGATCTTTCCCTTCACTGTGATCGGGGCCTTGCTATTTGTTAAATGCCTCTGCTGACTGTGGGTGCCAGTAGTCCCTGGGCCTCAAACAAAATGTATTAAAGGTTATTTACATCTCAGAATCCATGATATAATATTTTTCTTTACACTTCATAAAGCTCCTTTGAAAGGTATAAACATCTCATTATTCCTAGGGGCATGTTTTAACAATGAAAGAATTATAAAATATCATGATGACCCTGAGGGACACCAGAGTGTACAGTATTGACAACTACTTTTCTTATCTTTTAGGTTTTACTTGACTGGATGATGAAAATTGGGTACCACACATCCCTATACGGCCTTTCTACTTCCTTTCCCAGAATACCTCTGGAAGTTGAGGGAGACTGTTCACTGCAGGACCTAGGAATAACTGTGGATACTATACTCAATGTGGAGGAAAAAGAGCCATGCAACTAGAAATGAAGAATACCTGTTCTACATAAAACCAGTTATGTGTGACCTTACAGGACAACAAAGGATTCACATTAAAATCATGCTATACCTTGACTGAGCTCAAGGCAGTAAACACTTTAGTGTAAATATCCATCCTGAGGGAGTATGCTAATTGACCCTCATGCTATTGCAAAATGCCAGTGCCCTTGAGGGAATATGCTAATTTACTGCCCCACCCTCAAAGATGGTGGCATCCACAGCCAATAAGAAGGGGATTATGTTAATTGACTGCCATGCCCTCAAAGATGGCAGCGCCCACAGCCACAAGATGGCGGCGCCCAGTCCCCTCAGCCCCACTAGGGTGGCAGGCCTGGCAGTTCCATGCACCTGCCTCCAGAGTCCCCTAGTCCCCTCAGCTGCCCAGGGCTAGCCTGAAGCATAGGCAAGCCTCGAATGGTGGCCGCCCAGCCAAAGCCCAAGGTGCAGGCAAGCCTCAGATGTCAGCTGCCCAGTTGCCCAGGGCTGTCCGAAGGGCAGGTAACCAGGGCTGGCCGAGACTTGCGCTGCCAGCAGTGGCAGCAGCAGAGGTGTGATGGGGGCATTGCCTTCCCCTGATCGCCAGGTCGCCTCCCACCCCCGAGGGTTCCCGGACTGTGAGTGGGGGCAGGCCAGGCTGAGGCACTCCCCTCCCCCTCCAGTGCATGAATTTTCATGCACTTGTCCTCCAGTAGGAATATATGGACATAAAGAGTTAGGAAAGGACTGCTTTCTACATACAGTGAATCTATGCTTAGGCATCACCTTTGATCATTCACAGATCTTAAAATTTTTTTCAAATACAGTTATTCAGTATTATATTAATTTCAGGTATACAGCATAGTGAGTAGGCATGTGATTATATATAACTCAAGAAACAATCTCCCTAGTAAGTCTAATACTCCTGACCCTATATGTAGTTATTACAATATTATTGACTATATTCCATAAGCTGAACTTTACATCCTCATGACTATTTTGTAACTGCCAATTTGTACTTCTTAATCCCTTCACCTTTTTCTCACCCCAACCCTTCTCCCATCTGGCAACCCTGAGTTTATTTTTTTTATCCATGAATTTGTTTCTGTTTTTTTTTAGTTTTTTTTTTTAGATTCCACAAGTAAAACCACATGGTATTTGTCTTTCTCTGTCTGACTTATTTCACTTGCATAATACCCTCTAGGTCCATCCATGTTGTCACAAATGGTACGTTTTCATTCTTTTTTATGGCTGAGTAAAATTCCACTGTATATATGTTCCACATCTTATTTATCCAGTCACCTATCAGCAGTAACTTCAACAGTCAGAGACGTAAACATTAAAGAGGGCTTTGGACCCCCAAAATTCATCTGGCAGGAAGCCAGCGGAGGAAAACGGCTGTAAACCCGTGCTACCTGTTATGTAAAGGAAGTGAAACCAAGGCCTTTGAGGGGCGAGTCAGGAAGTACTGGAGTGTAATTTCCTGGCAGGGAGTAGGACTGTGTTCTAGATAAGGAATTTATACTTGCCTACCGGGGCTTCAGAACTGCTCACGGGCAGAAGCTTCTGTGTGCCATCCATTTTCAGTCTTTCTAACCAGAGTCATCCTGTCTATCCCACCACCGTGTGTTGGGTTTGCAGAGGGGCAATACAGGTCTTTGGTTGATAGGCCTACAGATCAGGAGGAAACGTTCGTGAGAGCTGTACTAAGAAGTACGCATGCCCAGTCTCCTCTGCCTCTGGACCTGATTTAGATGACAAAATTCTGGACTAGGCAGGGAATGGGAGAAAAGGTGGCTGCTCTGTATGCAGATGAGGAAATTAGATTTTAACATTTTTAATGGCCTAGCATGGGCTACTGCATCACTTTGCAACAAGACTGGCTATTCAATATGTGGGTCTTAGTGCAAAATGAAAAAGCAGGCAGGACACCTTACTCAAAAATGAAGAATTCACACATGGCTCAGTGGTTGAGCATTGACCTATGAACCAGGTCAGGGTTCAATTCCCGGTCAGGGGACATGCCCAAATTGGGGGCTTGATCCCCAGTGGAGGGCATGCAGGTGGCAGCCAATGATTCTCTCAATATTGATGTTTCTAGCTCTCCCTTCCTCTCTGAAATGAACAAAAGTATATTTTAAAAAATAAATGAAGGCCAAAACCGTTTGGCTCAGTGGATAGAGTGTTGGCCTGCGGACTGAAAGGTCCCAGGTTCGATTCCGGTCAAAGGCATGTATCTTGGGTTGCAGGCACATCCCCAATGGGGGGTGTGCAGGAAGCAGCTGATCAATGTCTTTCTCTCATCGATGTTTCTAACTATTTCTGTACCTTCCTTTCTATAAAAAATCAATAAAATGTATTTTTAAAAAATGAAGAATTCAAGACAGTGACAGCACAGCGTTCTACGTGTGGGGCTGTGACTGCACAGGTCATACCATGCGCCAGTCCTGGCTGCGGGCCTCAGACACAGAGTTCCCACTCACCTGAAAGCTCTTCTCTGCCGGCCTTCAGCTGGTGCTCATGAGGAGGGAGAGCGTGCAGATGGCTGGAGAAGTCACCTCGAGGCAAACAAGGAGGTGATTGGTGGCTATGGAGGGACAAGCTCAAAGCCCCACTAGCTGGTTGGGATCCTTCTCTACAAAATCTTAACCCGCAGGGGGCAGTACACCAAATACTATGGTCACGGGACATTGGCAAAGATGTTTCTGAGAAGCAGTAAAAGCAAAATCCATCCTCCCCCCCCAGGACACAGGCACACACTAGTGCTGCTGGGGGAAGGGTAGGAACAACTCTTCTCTATCTTGGTGGAGGAGCAGGTTCAGATAACAAACAGATGCTTGCTGTTACTGGGGAGTGACGATGGCAGTCGACAACAGGGGAAGTGTAAGAGAAGGAAGAAGGCCCTCTCCGATACAGGTGAGCAGGGCTGACAGAAAGCTGAGCTTGAACAGTCCAGAGGAAAATGGTTACTACAAATACAGAGCGGGCACACAGGAAAACCTGGCATCTCCACCCCTATCCTAAGCACAAAGGAGCAGCAGCCAGCCCATCAGTAGTACAGTTTGAGGTCTATGGGCTTCGAGTCTGAGAAACAATAGACTTCTACTGCAAAAATATCTTTCAAAAACGAACCTGAAACACTTTTAAGACAAAAGCTGAAGAAATTCATCACCAGCAGACTTGTATTAGGGTTACACAGGCCTAAACTACTTAAGTCTTTAAGGCAGAAGACAAACCAGAAGGAAATAGGAATCTATACAAAGACATAAAGAGCACTATGTGGGTTATTTAAGAAATCTTTGCTTAACCCAAGGTCTCAAAGGGGTCTGTGTTTTCTTGTAAAAGCTTGTAACAGGTTTTATGTTTAAGTCTATGGCCATTTTCAGTGAATTCCCAGTTGAGGCATGTGCCTGAGTTGCAGGTTCGGTCCCATTGGGGTGTGTGCAGAAGGCAACCAATTGACGTCTCTTACACATCGAAGTTTCTCTCCCCCTTTCTCTTAAATCAGAGGGAGGTATATCCTCAGATGAGGATTGAAGAAGAGAAAAATAAATGATTCTTCCTAGCTATATAATATTCTACAGTTTTAGCATACAATCCATGTGAAGACACAAATTACCTAATGAATGCTTAGAAAAAAGTTTTTTTAATGGTCTAAAAGATATCCAGTACTATTTGATTTTTTTTCTTATGAAAATAAGTCCTATACAAAGAATATTAATTCAAATAGCCTCAACACAATTGTTCACTACGAAGTTTTATATCAAATTTCAAAATAAAACTTTCAAGTATACCACAATAAATCAATGATTCTGTTTAAAATGAAAAGTTTATTTGCTCAGTACACCAAATAGGATGCAAGCAATGTCATGACAAATATACAGAAATATGCAGACCAACATAAAACAGTAATTCAGTTTAAATGAAGGGGAAAATCTCTTTCAATGTTATGACAACATACTCCCAAAAAGAATCTTTTCTTCAATTATACATTTCAATAAAATAAAGGGTAATGGATTGGGTGTAAGTTAGCTTGTGAATTTTTTCTTAGAAATAAGACCTCAACTCTATTAATCCATGCCAGTTAAACACTATAACTAAAATTTCCAAATAAGTGCAAAAGGAGATAAAGGGGTTAGTTACGCTTTTTTGCTCGAACAGTCCAGAGGAAAATGGTTACTACAAATACAGCAGGCAAACTGTTAAGATCGACTGATCTAGAACTGTACTAAATTTCAGTCAATGCTCGTCATTGTGCTAAATGCTCATCATTAGTATGGCACGTTTTGGTCCATGATATAGTTTAATGCCAAGATAGATCCCAATTTGTTACAGATACAGTTAGATTACTGTTGCTCGTGTTTTTTTTCTAAATATATATATATTTAAAAAGCCAGGATACTTCCACATACAAAGGCAGGTTTCCCCGGAGGGGTTTACAGGAAGTAGTCTGGGGTGCGCCGGGTGACGTGAGGCTCTCCACGACGAGGTGCTGGGTCGAACTGAAGGCTATAAATGGCAAAAACAAAAACCCGAGAGTTAAAGGATTTGAATTTGTAAACAAACAAGTCAATATTACGACTGGAATGGACAAGTCACTGCCGGTGTTCTCCAGGAAACTACCTCACAGAGCTAGGGTGAAAATTTAAGCAGATGAAATGTCCAGGTGGTACCTGGCATAAAACGTTTACAGTATTATCATCAGTTAATGGAAGTGCCAAGAGCAAACTTGCTTATTTTATGGTAGACTTTAGGGAGAAGTATTTAGCCTTTTACTATTAAGAATAGTTAGCCCAGGCAGCATGGCTCAGTGGTTGAGTGTTGACCTATGAACCAGAAGGCCACAGTTAAATTTTAGGTCAGGGCACATGCTTACATTACAGGCTCAATTCACAGTAGGGGCCTGCAGGAGGCAACTAATCAATGATTCTCATCATTGATGTTTCTCTCTCTCCCTTTCTCTCTGAAATCAATTAAAATTTTTTTTTAAATATATATATATATTTATATACTTATATATATATTATTATATTATTATTATATTATTATATTATATATATTATTTATATATATATATATATATATTTAAAAATATATTTTATGATTTTTTACAGAGAGGAAGAGAAAGGGATAATTAGAAACATTAATGAGAGAGAATCATCGATCAGCTGCCTCTTGCACACCCCCTACTGGGGATGTGCCCGCAACCAAGGTACATGCCCTTGACCGGAATCGAACCTGGGACCTTTCAGCCTGCAGGTCGATGCTCTATCTACTGAGCCAAACCGGCTTTGGCTAAAAAATATATTTTAAAAAATGATATTACAATCGAATCCAGTTTGGGTCAGTGGATGGAGCGTTGGCCTGTGGACTGAAGGGTTCCAGGTTCGATTCCAGTCAAGGGCATGTACCTTGGTTGCAGGCACATCCCCAGTAGGAGGTGTGCGGGAGGCAGCTGGTTGATGTTTCTCTCTCATCAATGTTTCTAGCTCTCTATCCCTCTCCCTTTCTCTCTGTAAAAAAAATCAATATATTTTTAAAAAATGATATATTTTTTTGTAGATGCCCTTTATCAGGATGAGAAAGTCCCCTGTAGTTGATTATTTTTATTATGAACTAGAGGTCTGGTGGATGTGCATCAGTAGGGTCCCTCTGCCTGGTCTGCGGGGATCTGGCCAAAACCCCAAGGAGTCCTGGGGTGCAAGAGGGCACTCTACAAAGTTGTTGTCAATCTATCTGCATTGAGCGTCTGTCCTGTGTGGTCACTGCGTGTTATAGCTACCGGCGGCCGCTTAGGCTTTTGTATATGCAGATGAGGGCTGGGTTCTGGCTTTACTGAGATGATTATGTGTTCTTTGCCCTTTATTCTACTCATATAGTTTATCACATTAATTTTCACATTTTGGACCAACTTTGCATTCCTGGGATAAATTCCACTTGGCCGTGATGTGTAACCCTTTTTATACATTGCTGGATTCAGCTTGCTGATACTCGGTTGTACATACACATTTATATCTAAATGCATTAACAGTATTCATCTGTAGTTTCCTTAAAATGTCTTTGGTTTCAGTATTAGGGTTACACAGACCTCAAAGAATGAGTTGAAGTAATGCTTCTCTTCTGTTTTTCGAAGGTTTTGTGGACTGGTGTTAATTCCTTTTTAAATGTTTGGTCAGTTCCCCAAAGAAGCCAATGGGGCCTGGGCTTTTATTTGTAGGAAGTATTAAAATTATGAATTTAAATTTCTTTACCTGTTACAGGCTTATTCAAATACTCATTTTCTAACTGAGTCACTTTTGGTAGTTTCTAAAAATTTTTGCATTTCATTAAATTTACCTAACTGTATTGTTATAGTTTTTCACTGTATTTCCATATAATGCCTTTTATTTCAGTAAGGCAACTTTGTTAATGAATCTTCATTCTTCTTTTCTTAGCCAGTCCAGTTTTTTTTGTTTTGTTAAAAATAATCAATATTTTTATTGAAAATAATCAACTTTTGGTTTAGTTGATTTTCTGTTTTCATAGTATTTCATTTTATTTTTACACTAAACTTTCCTTGCATTGAGTTTAATTTGCCTTTCTTTTTCCAGATCCTTAATGTGTAAAGTTAGGTTTTTGATTTGAAATCTTTGTTGATTTTTAATATAGGCATTTATAGCTATAAATTTTCTTATAAACACTGTAACCCCTAAGTTTAGGTACATTCTATTTTCACTTTCAACTCAAATTTTTCTTGTGATTTCTTCTTTGATCTACTAGGTTATTTAGGAGTGTTAATTTCTACATATTTACAAATTTTCCAGTTTTCCTTGTTATTGATTTCAAATTTCATTTCATTGTATTTAGAGAAGGTACTTTGTATGATTCTAATCTCCTTACATTGAGGCTTGATTTATAGACTAGCATACAGTACATCTTGGAGAATGCTCCATGTACATTTGAGGAGACTGTATTCAGCTGTTGATGGAGTGTCCTGTAGATGTTGGGTATGGCTAGTTTATAGTGTTTCTCAAGTCTTCTATTTCCTTGTCTATCTTCTGCCTAGTTTTATTATTGAAAGTGGTATAACAGAGTCTCCAACGATTGTTCAGTTGTCTAGGTCTTCCATCGATTGTTAGTTTTGCTCAATATATTCTAGGGCCCTGCTGTTGAGAGCATGTTTATAGTTGATATATCTTCCTGGTGGCGTGATTCTTTTATCATTATGAAATGTCCTTCTTTGTGTCTAATAACAATTTTTTTTTTAATAAGTTTTTATTGTTCATATTATTACAAATGTTCCTTTTTTCCCCCCCACCATTGCACCATTGCTCTCCTCCACCAGGTTCCCACCCCACCCTCTGCCCTTTCCCCTCTCCCCATTGTCCTCATCCATAGGTGCACAGTTTATGTTCAGTCTCTTCCCACGCCCCCCTCTCCCCTTTTCCCCAAGAATCGTCAGTTCACTCCCCTTCCATACCTCTGATTCTATTATATTCAACAGTTAATATTGTTCATCAGATTTTTTTAATTTCCTTGGTTATTAGATTCACTTGTTGATAGTTACGTATTTGTTGTTCATAATTTTTATCTTTATTTACTTTCTCTTCTGAAAGAACCCCCTTCAGCAATTCATATAATTCTGGTTTGGTGTTGATGAAATCCTTTAGCTTTTTTTTATTAGTGAAGCTCTTTATCTGGCCTTCAATTCTGAGTGATAGCTTTGCTGGGTAGATTATTTTTGGCTGTAGGTTCTTGCTATTCATCACCTTGAATATTTCTTGCCATTCCCTTCTGGCCTGCATGGTTTCTGTTGAGAAGTCAGCTGACAATCGTATAGATGCTCCTTTATAGGTTACTACCTTCTTTGCTCTTGCTTCTTTTAATATTCTCTCTTTGTCTTTTGCTCTTGGAATTTTAATAATGATGTGTCTCGGTGTGGTCCTCTTTGGATTCCTTTTGTATGGAGTTCTGTGCACTTCCTGGACTTGTAAGTCTAATTCTTTCACTAGGTGGGGTAAGTTTTCTGTCACTATTTCTTTCAGTATGTTTTCGATATCTTGCTCTCTCTCATCTTCTGGGACCCCCATAATTCTGATGTTGGTTCGTTTGAAGTTGTCCCAGAGGTTTCTTACATTATCTTCAATTTTCTGGATTCTCTTGCCTTCTTGCTTCTGTGGAGGAGTGTCTTCTGGCTCTTTATGTTTCAAATCTTTGACTTGATTGTTACAATCTTCCCTTCTGTTTTTAGGACTCTGTAAAATATTTTTTATTTCAGACAATGTATTCTTTATTTCTTGTTGATCCCTTATCATTTCTTGTTGACTCCTTATTAATTCTAGTTGATCTCTTTTCATATCCTCATAGGCCTTATCCATCTTTCCTAGGAAATTCTTGAAAAACCTTATAAGCGTAGATTTGAACTCTATATCCAGACGCTTTTTGTCCTCCATTTCTTTCATTTGTGATCTATTTTGTTGTCGCATTTCGCAGTTACAGATGGGGCGGGGTTTCAGGGTGGAGCCTACAGCCTTGGCTTCTGTCAGCCCCGCCCTATGCGGGTCCGTCAGTGCTCGCTGCCGGCGCCTCTGAGAGAAGGGTGCCCTCGATTTTCGCCTGCTGCCAAACAGTCTATGCTCTCCCCCAATGAGCCCGGTATTGGGGTTCAGTTCAGTTGGAAGTGGAGTTGGAGGTGGCGTTCAGAGCAGTCTGGAGCCCCAGTCTCCTTCCCGTCAGGGAGATCCCGCGGCACAGCCGACCGTCCCTTCTCTGTGCGCAGTGTGCGCGCCGCCGCCGGGACCTCCTTTCACTGCTCCCCGGGTTCCGCCTTACAGCCCGGCTCCCTATGGCTGAGCCTGAGTCCCCGGGGTCTGGCTTAAAACTGGGGATCAGAGCAGTCGGGGGCCCAGCACAGTCGGAGTTTTATCTCCTTTCCGCTAGGGAACGCCCGCCAGGCACTCGGCCTCCCTCCTCTCCGTCTCCGTCCCGATCCTCTCCGCGTGCCGCGTCTCCGTACCTTGGGCTTTTCCAGCTCCTCTGCACCTCCTCCTGGTTTTCTCCTTGCTTCTCACTGTAGAATTTCCAGTCAGTCAACCTTCCTGTAGTTCTGGGCAATGTCCGTTTTATATTTTAGTTGTATTTTATTGAAATTGTTGTGTGCGGCTGCGGCTAGGTGTTCACCTGGGCGCAGCCATCTTAGATCCTCTCTAATAACAATTTTTGTTTTGAAATCTATTTTGTATGTCATTAGTGTATCCAGTACCATGTTCTTGTGGTTGCTATTTGTATGGTAAATTTTTTCCCATCATTTTACTTCTAACCTACTTGTAGAAGTAAACTGTATTGTATTTCTGAATGTAAATTATGTTTCCTGTAGACATCATAAAATGATCTCAAAAAACAATGGCCTGATAATCTCTGCCTTTTGATTGCATTGCTTAAACTGTTCACATTTAATATTATTGATATGATTGAATTTATGCCTATTTAAAAATGTGTGTTGTTTCTTGGTTCCTGCTTTTTCATTAATACAATCTTTTTTAGTATAACACTTAAATTTCTTTAATAACGTTATAATTAGTTTTCATTTTAATTGATTTTATAGAGAGAGGAATGGAGGAGAGATAGAAATATTGATGAGAGAATCATTGTCTCTGGTATGTCCCGTACTTGGGATTGAGTTCACTATGTGGGCATATGCCCTGACTAGGAATCGAATCTAGTCATGACTAGGAATGCACTCTTGGTGCATGGATGATGCTCAAGCAACTGAACTATACTGGCTAGACTACAATTATTTTTCTTAAATTATTTTATTAGTGTTTGCTGTAGAGCTGTGGTCGGCAAACTAAGGCTTGTGAGCCAGATGTGGCTCTTTGGCCCCTTGAGTGTGGCTCTTCCACAAAATATCATGGCCTGGGTGATTCTATTTTGAAGAGGTGGCGTTAGAAGAAGTTTAAGTTTAAAAAATTTGGCTCCTAAAAAGAAATTTCAATCATTATACTGTTGATATTTGGCCCTGTTGACTAATGAGTTTGTTGACCACTGCTCTAGAGCTTACAATGCACAACTTAAAACTTTTTCAGATTTATACTAACTTAACTGTAGTTCATTATAGAAGTTTACTCCTTTCCATTCTCCCTTTTGTTGCTACTGATGTTATATAGTTTATCTGTACATGTTACAGACTCTCAGATACTTATTTTACATATTATGACAATAAAGCTGCGAGAGAAAGTAGAACAAGTATGTATTTGTAGTTTTTGTTATATTAACCTCATTTTTACTTTCTTCATGTTCTTCCTTAGGATTTAAGTTACCACGTAGTGTCACTGCTATGTATTGTTACTGTCAAATATATGATACTACATTTTTGTATATATTACATTTCCTATAAGTTCAACTATACTTTACAGAATGTGTCCATATTGTGTAATGCAACTGGTTTTAAATCAGTTAAGAAAGTTACAATCGTACTATCTTTTACAATTGCCGGTGTCTGCGAGCGCAGACATTTGATTTACTTTCTGGTGTCATTTGCCTTCAGCCTGAAGTAGACCCTCTTGGCAGGTCTGCTAGCATTGAATTTTCTCCATTTTGCTTGTCTGGGAACATTTTTCTTTTGCATTCATTTTGAAATTTTGCTGGATGTAACATTCTTGGCTAAGTTTTTTATTTTCAGCACTTTGAATATATGGTCCCATTGCCTTTCTGATGAGATGTCAGCTGATCAACCTATTAGATTCCCTTTTGTAAGTCATTTTCCTCTTACAGCTTTCAACATTTTTCTTTTAGACTCTCAACATTTTAACTATGACATATATGGTTACGGATTTCTTTAAACTTATCCAAGTTAGAGTTAGTTGAGCTTCTTGGGTATGCAAATTAATGCTTATCATCAAATATAAGAAACTTTCAGCCATGATTTCTTCAAATATTCTTTCTGTCCCCTTTCTCTCTCCTCTCCTTCTAGAGCTCCCATACACTTATATTGGTGTGCTTAATGTCTCCTACATTTCTGAGCCTCTATTCATTTTTCTTCTATTATTTTTCTCCTTGTTCTGCTGTTTTGCTCGATGCTACTACCGGTAGTATTATGAGAGAGACGAGTTCCCTCGGGCAGAGCTGAAGAACTTTTTGAGCCACCTCTCACCCTGAACAGAACTTCTATGCAGTTGCTTTAGAGCTGTTTTTCCCCTCCCCCCCATTAGTGTGTGTGTGTGTGTGTGTGTGTGTGTGTGTGTGTGTGTATATACACACACACACACAAAATATATATATATATATATATATATATATATATATATATATATATATATATATATTTGCTGAAGCTAGTGTGCAAGCCAGCATCTTGTTACCCATTTTTTAAATTGAAATATAACTGGCATATATTATTATACATATAATGATTCAATAAATGTACACACTACAAAATGATCACCACAATATGTCTGGTTAAAATCCATCATCACACAGTTACAAGGTTTTTTTCTTGGGATGAGAACTTTGAAGATCTATTTTCCTAGCAACTTTTAAATATATAGTACAGTATTAACTAGTCACTGCGATGTACACTACACATCCTCATAACTTATTTACTTTATAACTAGAAGTTTGTTCCTGGTGATCACCTTTCACCTACTTTCTAGTGACACTCCTATTCTATGAGCAGGAGCTGGGAAAGAACACTGTCTGCCATGCACCCTGAGAGCTAGAGAGGGGAAGGGAACCTCAGCCTGCTTGACTGCACCTTCTGGAACAGAGCGTCTGAAACCCGGGCCTGGGGTAGGTGTGATATACTGGCATATGCCCCCCACCAGGTGAAACCATATCCCTAAATCTGGGAGCTAGGGAAGGGAAAAAGCCCCCATCTTTTTGTCCATACCCACGAAGAGCAGAGTGCCTAGTGCAGTTTCCATACACGTGATCCAGGACTAGGGAAAGAGTTGTGGCTCGAATTCCACAAACTTTGGCTGTTATTACCCAGATTTAGATTTTTCTAGAATAGTATTTCTCTGTCTGCTGTATATACTTAGAACAGTTTCCAAAAATTTGAAATACTTGTTTAAAATAATGTTCTCTAGCTAAGTAGCAGTTTTTATTGGGGAGATATAGTTTGCTATCTTCATTATTCCAGAAGCAGAAATTCTATATCACATTTTAAATTTTCCTTCTAAAAGTGATCATATACAATTAAAATTAAAATTAAAATTAAAAGTAACTTACAAAGAATATTTTAAAGTGTCATCCAATTCCATGATTGCAGCCTGGTTCCCGCAGCGATAGCAGTAATTGGGTGCACTGAAAATGGTAACCACATTCCGGTCATGACACCAATTGTATCCCTGCATTAAAGGAAAAAAACAAAACAAAAACATAATCTCAACACAGAGGTTAAACTTAGAAATTAAAAGTATTTTCTGTGGAAATGCAGTCTTCTAAGTTACTTTATACAGTATGCTTCATTAATATTGTGCATCTGCATGAATACGCAACTGTTGGGTACAGGATTTTATTACTACATGGAGCTTAGTAAATGCTTTGTTCTGGCTTAATCTATGCTTGTGATCTTGGCTATGATGTGTACTCAATTTCTCCCACCATATGGAAGACTTCTTAAATTATTCCTTTTAAATTGTGGCAATTTTTGCTTTATATATTTTGACTCTATTTAGGTGATTACAAATTTAGAATTATTTCTTCCTAGAGAACTGGGTCAGTTTTTTCAAATAACCTATTTTCATTTCTAGTTATACTTTTTGTCTTAGAGCCTATTCTGATTAGCTGTACACTGGACAATTATCTAATTGATATACCAATATACCATTTTCCATCCCTCTACTTCTAATCATTATATTTTATATAAATCCCAAGGTATAGATGAATTTTGATTAACCAATTTGAGTCTCTTCTAATAAAACATTTCATTTCATCCATTTAACATTGTTTATGATTACTGATATAAATAAGACTTATTCTCAGTATAATCTTTATCCTCAGCATGAGGTTCTTTATTATGCTCTCACTCCTCCTCTTGCTTTATTGGGTTTGTGAAGTTTCTCTTACATTTTGAAGTCACTCCTACTGGTTTGGAAGTATTATTTTCTATTTATATTCCTTTAGTATTTACAAATTAGTAACATCATAGTAGAGAAATCTGGCAGGCATCACCTTAACTAAGTGATCCAAGTTAACACCACCAGCATTAGGGTCAACTTCATGACCCCTGTATATACACTGAAAAGGACACATCAGTATGTGCCATACCCACCAAAATGCATATCCTGAATCTATACCTGTAAGGAAGCATCAGTTAAATCACAAATGAAAACTACACAAAATAAAATTGCTTGTACTTTAAAAAAAGTCAAGATTATATAAAACAAAGAAAATCTGAATGCAGCATCATCCTGAATTAGATTTTAGATATACATAGTCAACTAAAGACCATTAGTAAGATAATTAAAATTTAAATAAAGTATTTAGGTTAGATAAAAGTATTAGATCAATGCAAATTTATTGACTGTGACAAGTATCCTGTGGTTATATAAGACAAAGTCCTCATTTTTACAAATACACATGGAAATTTGGGGGCAAATGAGCATCATGTCTGCAACTGACATTAGAACAGTCAAAAGAATGTAAATGTGTGCATGGAAGGGGGAAAGAAGAAACTGAATAATAAAGCAAATATTAAAATACGCAAAATTGAGGACTCTGACTTCAAAATGAGTTACAATTTTGCTCTAGCAAACCAGTGCTTTCCTTACTTGCTAAAGCAGGCCAAGTTTTCCCTCCTCTCACTTAGATAATGGTGAGGAATGTTTCTACTATTCGAAGTCATGAAGGCTTTATTACAGACGTATGTACTTGTCAGAAACAAAGACTGCCATCCTGTAGGAAAAGGACATACCTCCATTACAAGCTGGTGAGCGCGAGAAACCAGTGTGAGACCATTGGCATGATTGAATGTTTCAGAAATGTCTTGTCCAAATGTATAGCCAGCACCACGTGGTGAAATACCCCAGCCACCACGATCATCTGGATCTGACCACAACAGATCACACATGGGGCCCTGGCCAAAAACATTAGGTACATATTAGAAGTTATTAGCACTCATATTTAACTAATTAAGCTTAACTACAATGTGGTTATGTTTTTTTTTCTTTTAATTTCAAGTAAGTTTACCTCATGTGGAACTTCTTGTAAACGATCCAGGGCCCTTATATGATCCAGTGTATCAATGGATGGAGAGAGGCCACCATGGAGGCAGAAAATCTGTTTATGAATTTATAAAGAAAATGAACTTATTAAGTGCTAAAATTTAATGGAAAGTAAATAATTACAAATGTCAATCCTAATAGCTCTTTCCAAAATAATATTTTAAAATATTCATTGTGGAGAATTTATAAGATATAATAAAAATGAAACAAAAACATGAGAGGGCTGTTAACATTTACATATATTTTTTGTCTTTTTTCTTTATAATCCCAACACTATATGACCCTTCATTGCATTTTCTATTGGTTGCTGATGTACAAATTTTCTTCTCTTATAATAAAGACCCTATAAATTCCTGTTATTGGTTTCAACAGTTTTCAGGTTTTCTTTGATTTTCCTGAGTGCATAATCATGTTTGCAAAAATATTTGCTTTTCTTTTCTACTTAATGTTTATACCTTTTAATTCTTTTATTGCTCAGTGAATTGGCTAGAATTTCCAAAACAAAATCGAATGGTACAAGTTAGTGGGAAAAAAAATTTTTTTTTTGGGGGGGGGGGGGTGGTGGTAAAACACCTATCCCCATGTCCATCCTTTAGAGATTTGGAATCAGAGATAATAATAATACAAGTGTTAGAGGACATTTTTCTCCTGATTTTGATGAGATGCTTCCTGATAAGTATAGTTTCTTTATCTAATTAATGCTACTTTATGTTACTCCTTAATAAATGAGTTTAAAAAGATTTTTTTTTTTTAATTTCAGAGAGGAAAGGAAAGGGAGAAAGAGAAACATCAATAATGAGAGAATCACTGACTGGCCACCTCCTGCACAACTCCTATTGGGGATTGAGCCCGCAACCTATGCATGTGCCCTAACTGGGAATCGAACTGTGACCTCTTGGCTCATAGGTCAATGCTCATTAGCCATGCTGTGTGGGCTGAGTTTTAAATAATGAATATTGTCTGGTCAAAAGATTTAAACACATATCTGACAACATGAACATGTGCATGTAACTTATCCAAATCTCTGTTCTGAAATCTTGAGTGTAAGAGAAAGAGTCAAGAAAAAGCTAAGGAGATGAAAACACACACCATATAATCTAGACCCTAAATAACTAGGAGAAAATCTTTCCCTACTTTTATCCCATCCCAACACCCAATCCTCCACCCCCATGTAAGCACACACATACACACCTGTCCATCTACTAAAGCTGTAAGTGGAAGATAATCAAACAGATCTGTAAAATATTTCCAAACATTGGCATTTCCATACTTTCGCAGGCACTCATCATAAAAGCCATACACTTGGGTAATTTGTCGGCTTTCATGGTTTCCTCTCAATATTGTAATGCGTTCTGGATACCGCACCTGGAGAAAAAGCAAACAAAACAAAACACCCCCGGTACAAATCATATTTTTATTAGTGTCACATTAAATATATTAACTTCTGACCTATTTCTTTAAATGGCTCTTTTGTCTGCTAATAAATTAAATGTTAAATCCTTTTCAGAGTAAAAAATGTTCTCATACCTAGCCAAGTCTGATTGATTAAATTATGGTGAAATATTTCAGATAGCTGTTCTTTTTCATTACTATTTATACCACCCTCATTGGAATCCTTATTAACTGATACCTATATTACTATAATAAACTTGTATCTAATTCTGTCTTAAATACCTTCATCTTCAAACTATCACTAGTTTTCTAAATCTTCCCAGACCAATGCGACTTCTTACTGCTAAATGGATAATGAAGAGCATAGATTTGGACCCAGGACAAACTCCTCTATAGACTAACTTCTCTTCCCCTTTCCAACTTCCATTTCCCCTGAGAAGATTGTATTTGCCAACAAAAACAGGCCTTTACCAAATCTAGGCAAGATTTCAAATGTAATAATAGTCTTTTCCATAACAAAATATAGAGACATCCCTTATAACATAGTAGTTAGGAATATGTCTGATAAGTTATGAAAAGCATCGGATTCTGTAAACCAATTAACCAAAAACTGCAAATACATACTTCCATTCATACATATTTTCTAAGCATCCTTCATATATATCCAGCATTAAACTCAGTGCTAAAGTTAGGTGAGGTTGTCTCAAGTATAATACAAGATTTCTGCTCCTCAAAATCTCACCAAAGAGGTATGTGCACTAATAACACAAGGCAATAAACTGCTATGTAACATAAAAAAGGGGTGGGACAATATGTTTCATGGTAATTTAGAGTAAAGGAATAAGGCTAAAATGGTTGAAGATTTCATGGAAGAAGAACTTGAGTCTTGACAGAAGAGGTAAGAAATCAGAATAATCTTGTGAAGAAACTGGATAAGAAAATAAATGGAGACAGACTGAACATTGGAATTCTTTGATTTGCTAGTAGTTGGTAGCAAAATGTTTATGCTACCAACTACTATACTAGCAGGAAAATTCAAGATATATAAGACAAAACTGCTAAATAAAAGAGACTTAATCTGGCAGCATATGCAAGGGCAAGGAAAATTTGGAGGGGTCAGATATTGGAGGCAGAAATATTAGTTACTAATATTATTGCTATTGCAATAATTAGAGTGTGAAGTGATAAAGATACAAATTGGATGGAGACAGTAAAAACAGAAAGACAGGGATAACAGAAAAAGACTTAATTGACTAAACAAGAGGGATAAGTGACTAAGTAAAAAATGATTCTAAAATTCAGCTATGGGTTCCCCAAGAGAATGATATACCAGAAGCAGGCAGGAAAGGTCTAATGCAGTATTCTCATCTCTCTTTTAAAAGATGTAAAATCAACTATTATTTAAGGGGTTATAAACTGAATAAATCATTAAACAGAACAGATGATATGCAATATTGACATTTTTGCCTTTTGCTGGCTTAAAGCTTGAAAAAAAAAATTAAACTTCATTAATCATACCTTTAATGCCACAAGAAGAGTCACAGTCTCCACTGAATAATAACCTCTGTCTACATAGTCGCCCATGAACAGATAGTTGGTATCTGGTGATTTCCCTCCAATCCTAAAGAGTTCCATAAGATCATGGAACTGACCATGCACATCTCCACAGACAGTGACCGGACAACGGACCTCTTGCACATTTGATTCCTTTGTTAAAATTTCCTTAGCCTGTTAGGAAAAGGAAATAAACAATTAAAAAAACATTCTATCACAAACTTAAACGCATCATTTCTTATGTATTAAGAGAAAATCTGGGGTGGGAGCCTGCAATGTGCCTCATAAAATCATAAAACTAAAATCACAACGAGATACCACTTTATACCTACTTGGATGGCTAAATTAACAAGATGGATACCAGCAAGTGCTTGTGGGGGAGAATGTGGAGAAATTGGAACTCTCACACACTGTTGGTGGGAATGAAAATGGTGCAGCTGCTGTGGAAAACTTCAATAAGTTAAAATAGACTTACTCCATGACCCAGCAACTCTACTATATATATATATATATATATATATTTAAGAAGAATGAAAACTTACGTTTACACGTGTTCTCAGCGACATTATTCACAATAACCAAAATGTGGAAAACACTCAAATATCGATTAATTTTTGAATATATAAATAAAAGTGGTATTTTCTGTTCAATGGAGTATTATTTAGCAATAAAAAGAAGTGAAGTACTGATACATGCTGCTGATGTGAAAAACGTTACACAGTAATCTCCCACTCTCCACAGGGATTAAGTTCCCAGACCTCAGTGGATGCTAGAAACCGAGAGTACCAAACCTATACTATGTTTTTTTTTTCCTATACCTACATACCTATAATTAAGTTTAATTTATAGACACAGCAAGAGATTAACAACAATAACTAAAAATAAAATAAAACAATTCTAACAATATGCTGTAATAACAAGTTATGTGAATGTGGTTACTCATTACGGGGACTCCTTGCTGGAGTCTTCTCATAGGTTCAATGCTTTCTGGCACAATGTATTGCCATCATTCAGAACACATTTTCTTTTTTGAAGATTATTCCCATTTCATTCTTATTTAAAAAATATTTTTACTGATTTCAGAGTGGAAGGAAGAGGAAGAGATAGAAACATCAATGATGAGAGGGAATCATTGATTGGCTGCCTCTCGCACGCCCCCTACTGGGGATTGAGCCTGCAACCTGAACATGTGCCCTTTATCGGAATCAAGCCCGGGACATTCCAGTCCACGGTCCAATGCTCTATTCACTGAGCCAAACCAGCTAGGGCAAAATGTCGTACAATTTACAACTTAGGAATTGTTTACGTCTGGAATTTTTCATTTAATATTTTTGGACTGTGGTTGACTTCAGGTAACTGAAACTGCGAAAAGTGAAACAGTGGATAAGGGAAACTGTATTAAGTGAAACTGTATTAAGTGAAAGAAAGCAGTCGCTAATTGTCATATGTCACATGGCTCATTTTACATTTAAATGTCCCTAATAAACAAATCTACAAAAGCAGAAAGACCAAATGACCGAGCAGCAGGCTGTGTGGAGCGACCAGGCCAGTGGGGGCAGTGGGGCAGTGAGGGGCGACCAAACGACCAAGCAGCAGGCTGCTGGGGTAACCAGACCAGCAGGGGGGGCAGTTGGGGGCAACCATGGGGGGGGGGAGGCAGTTGGGTGTGTTCAGGCTGGCAGGCAGAGGCAGTTAGGGGTGATCAAGCTGGGGGGGGGGGGAATGGGAGCAATTAGGGGCGATCAGGCAGGCAAGTGAGCAGTTAGGAGCCAGTGGTCCAGGATTGTGACAGGAATTTCCAACTGGCAGTTCAGGGGTCTCCGAGGAGTCCTGGATTGGAGAGGGTGTAGGCTGGGCTGAGGTGGACCTCCCCTCCCACCCCCCTGCACAAATTTCACACACCGGGCCTCTAGTCATGTATAAAATTCCAATAAACTATTTATTGCAGTTTTAGCTCTATGAGAGATTACTAACAGAAAACCGTGAAGGACAAACTAAGTGTAAGAAACAATCTACAGTGATGAGTGATAGTGTGACACTGGGCAACAAAAGCCAAACACTCAGAATGAAGCTTAGAGTAGAACCCAGTAGAGAGCTAAGATTGGTGGGGATGTTGAGTTTCTCTACATATAAGTTACTATTTCTCTGCATCTTTATCAGCAGACTATCATTCTTGTCAATTAGTGGGTGTGTAAAAGTATCTTTTAACTTGCACTTCTAACACTATAAGGCAGCTTTTCATGTTTATTGGTTATGGGATTATTTTTGTGTGAGATATCTATTCCCAAAATTCCATTAATTTTTCAACTTGGTTGTTTATATTTTCCCTATTGATTTGTACCAGTTTTATTTTTAGCATTATAAATATTTACCTTTCACTGGTTTTATGCATTTTAACCCTTTGCACTCCGCTGTCCCCTCTCAGGGGACATCGGAATTCTAGCATATCACTCGGATGTCCCCTCTCAGGGGACATTGCAGTTTATTAGTGATTACGGGGAATTGAGTTAATTCAACGCACGTTTCCGCCGTTAGTGTCGAGTAGCTGGTAGACAATGTCCAGAATGGTTCGGAGTGCAAAGGGTTAAATATCTTCTCACAGACTGGGACTGGTGTTTTCATTTTGCTTTGGGTTACTAAAGTTCCCCCCCCCCCCCCCCCCAAACTTTAAGATAGCCAAATTTATCACTCTTCTCTCTTTATGGTCTGGGCTATTTGGGTCTCCTACATAGAAATAAAAAAGGCACTCCTGTATTTCTTTTTATTCCACAAGCTTTTGCTTTCATATTTAACAAATCTTCGATCCAGAGCAGTAATTTATTGTATGGTATAATGTAGGGATTCATTTTAATTTTATCACTCCTCATGGTTAACCAACTGGTCAGCATTATTTATTATGCAGCACCATCCTTTCCTAATCTGTAATGTCACCTCTGCCACTCTTTAGTCAACATTTATGTCTGTTTCCTGATTTCCAAGACCTGGAAACAATCTTGTATATCCTTTCAGCTTCTCTTATTTACTTATGTATGTATGTATGTATGTATGTATGTATGTATGTATGTATTTTTCACTGAAGGAGCTGCATGTGTATGTATGTATATGTGTACATATTTTCCTCTGAAGGAGCTGCATGTATGTATGTATTTATTTTTCTCTGAAGGAGCTGCCTGTCTCTTGAACTGCTATGCTCTCATCATTGATGATATCCTTGCCCAGCCACCCAGCTGGAGTCTAAGCTGAAGTTATGGACCTGCTTGGCCTTGGTTCTAACTATGTTGAGCTGCTCCTCCACTTCAAGACACGGATGGAATGCCACATGGTAAGGTGTGGGGTCAGGCTTCTTGAAAAGGAGCTAAGTGATAGCACAATCTGGAAATACGTGTTAGTCACCTCTCCATGGAGTGATCCTCAACTAGTGGGAAGAGGAAGAAAAGAGGGAGCCAGGGAAATAAACTGCCTTCCAAGGTAATCCTATCTAATAAAATAGAAATATGCAAATTGACCACCACACCAAGACACAAGATGGCTGCCCCCATGTGGTCAAAGATAGCCGCCCCCATGTAGACACAAGATGGCCGCCACAAGGCCTGCAGGAGAGGGCAGTTGTGGGAAGTTAGGGGTGACTAGGACAGCAGAGGAAGGCAGTTGGAGGGGGTACCAGGCCGGCAGAGGAGGGCAGTTGGGGGAGACCAGACCAGCAATGGAGAGCAGTTTGGGAGGACCCAGGCCAGCAGAGAGGGCAGTTGCGGGGGAACCAGGCCTGCAGGGGAGGGCAGTTGGGAGTCAGCAGGCCTGGACTGTGAGAGGAATGTCCGACTTCCCGGCGGTCCCAGATTGGAGAGGATGCAGGCTGGGCTGAAGGACACCCCCCGCCCCATGCATAAATTCTGTGCACTGGCCTCTAGTATATCATATTGCATTCACAGCTTTTCCCACCTTATTTTTTTCCTTCACCTTACATTCTTGGGCTTAGACTCCCCAAATACTCTCCAAATAAAGTGTCAGCACTTTAATCCTTGTTTCAGGTTCCACTCTCATTAGTCTCCTACCCCTGTGTCAATAACAGACTGATTTAATCACTGTAAATAATCATAATAACTGGGAAATCACAATAACTAATTGGAATACCAATATCAGAATAAGTAAAACACAATCACAATCAAGTTTGCATAGGAGCTGTAGGATTCACAAAGAAAGTCTATTTCTAGATTCATCTATGCCAATTGGATACACTGAGCCCATACTTTTTTTTGGAAACGTCGATGAGAGAGAAACATCGACCAGTTGCCTCTTGCACACCCCCTACCGGGGAGATGTGTCCGCAACCAATGTACATGCCCTTGACCGGAATCGAACCCGGGACTTTTCAGTCCGCAGACCGACTGAGCCCATACTTTTAATCTGAAGTGACTCTAAGCAGGACAATGGCAAATTATATTCCAACAGAGGCGTTCTCACCAATGTTCTAAAACATTTCTAAGGTATGCTTTTGATTGGTTCAAATATCTTAATTTCCACAAAATTCCCAAGCTTGGTTCTCTGTTTTCCCTTTGATTCTAGGCTGTCAAATATTCTTCCAACAAATGCTGTTTCTGCTTAAGTCAGCCTGGTAGATTTCCCAAGAGTTATGAACTATGCAGCCCATGTTTTATTTGCCTATAGTTAGTTAGAATGAGACAATATGTACAGAAGTCTTCCATAAAATATGGGTTCAAATCTAACTGTGTAACCTTAAGACCTACACTAGTATATTCATTTAGACTAGATATTTATGTATATGTATCCCTGAAATATGAAGTATTACCTTTCACATGTATAATCTGGAAACAGCTTTTTTACAAACTAATTTTTTAAAGAAACGATTCTTAGCTGTGTGGCAAAATGCATTATTTTTATTACAGAGGCCCAATGCACAAAATTAGTGCACATTGGGGGGGGGGGGGGGGCAGCGTGTTCCACTCAGCCCAGCCTGCACCCTCTCCAATCCGGGATCCCTTGGTAGATGTTCGACTACTGGTTTAGGCCCAATCCCAAGGATCGGGCCTAAACTGGCAGTCATACATCCCCCTCACAATCCAGGAACAGTGGTTCCTAACTGCTCACCTGCCTGCCTGCCTGATTACCCCTAACTGCCTCCCTCTCCCCCCCTGGCCTAGTCACCCCTAATTGCC